AATTTGAACAGGGCCAATAATGCAAAGATTATAATTCGTTTGAGCATTTGTTGGATGACTGATCCAGAACTATCACTTTAAGACAAAATACTTATATGGGTTTGATGAATTGAAGAAACAACAGAAACATCGCCAAACATAATGTATTCAAACTCCACATTTGAGAGCCGCTGTTTGGCCCAGCAAAAATATGTACTCTGGAAGAAATACTGATAGCGTGAAATGTCCAGGGTAATCTTCTCAAAATTGACCAAGAAGAAACTCAGATCTTACAGTACAAAGTGTACAGTAGTTTTCCAATTAGGTATTTGAAGTTATTACAAAATTTTAGATTCTCATTGAGGTATACTCCTGAAAATGTTGTAGACGAGTAGTTTTCTACAAGGCCTCTCTGTAAAAGAAGATGAGGTTTTCTACTTCCGAAGAAGAAAACGTCTAGTTCTGGAATCACACCAGTCTTTCTCTTGATGCATATCAGCACACCTTGTTTAATTCATCCTGATTATATCTCTATGTACAAACGGCTACCTGGTACTGAAGAGAATTCTCTGATACTCATAGTTTTGGGGGGGTTTCAAAGTAGATTCGTTTGACGGATGATACAAATTTTTGCTTTTCATAGTGGGAAATAATTTGCGACGAATCTTCCAAGTCGAAGACGTTGCACAGGTGCCTGATGGTTTTACTTCAACTCTCTGCGTGGCATTAGCTGGGTGGGTTTTTTGTTTTTCCGTTGGGTATCTGCCACACGTACCTACAAAGTCGTAGGTCTGCATGAGATGAATGTATACTGAAATTATTATGATAATGAACGTCGATGGTGAATTTTCGTAGATGAAATGGTGCAGAAACTGCTAGCAAAATACCTTTCCAATATGTGTACAGTGAATATACTATAATTGTTATAGGTCGAAGCTCTTCTTCGTGTTTGTTGGCCCTGAACTGCATGGTTTTATGCCAAACGTTTCGTCAAAAACTGCGGTAGATACTTTATCGGTGGTGAAATTCACTAGGTGGACAACTAGAAAACTTGACGATGTCTACCACAATTGTGCACGAAACTTCACGCATAAAAGAATGCAGCCATGGCTAACAAACCCAAGAAATATATTTGATACAGCTAAGCCTGCAAAAAGTAGGTAATAATCGTAATAATGTTTTTGTGCATCCAACAAAAAAGTTTCAGTTTTTCCAGTACACTTTCTTTATGTCGTGTCTTGTTTATGCAAGTGAACAGAAAAAAATTGTTAGATGGACTAGACAAGAGACAGGGCATTTGTAGGTGGGGTAATTGTATCAAATGTTTTCGTGGCTCAAGAGTATATTTTGAAAATAATAGCTATGATTCAAAAAAAATTCTCTTATAGAAGTTTATTCATACACTTCGATATGTTGACTCTTGTCGGAATGTAGATATTTGAATTTTTGATTTATGTTTTCAGAAATAAATATGAATTCATCAATAATACATGCATTAATTGTAGGACTGTGAGTGCACGTCAAAAATATAACTTCCACATACATTTTTATAAATATAAATCTTCCTCAAATTAGTGTCATGGTACTGAATGTCTTCGAAAAGTTATCAATGGATATAAAGGTGCTCAAAAAAATTCAAAGAATTCTCTTGAATCATGAAGAAATATTTGATAGATCTTTGCGTCAATTTAGAGAAGTTTTTCAATTCGAATTGAAAGAGTTATATTTTTGTAGGAGTGATTAATTTTTGGGAAAGTTTTTGGTTTTCTACTACTCCATCTTGATACAAAAAAATGTGGGAATCTTCCAAAGAAAGGAAGGAAGTAATCAATTTGAAAATAAGTATCCATACATGGATGTATAGATCATGCGAAGAAGCAACTTTCAGACACAAACTGGAAGAAAGCCCTCCTGAAACTGCTACTTTCATATAAACATTGAATTACACGAAAGAAAAAAATTCTTTCGAAACAAATACTTTTATATGAACATTGAATTATACAGAAGATATTTTTCTCTACTCAGTTTGTATTCCAAACTTTCGTTATGGAATAAAATCAGGTATCATCATTCACAGGAGTTCTACTTTAAATGAAGGGTAACGAATTGCACTTACATGGAACTCTGTTATCCTCACTGTAGACACCGATGTTTCGCCGTAAGACATTATAGAAAATACACACAATTCATTCATGAATTACGATTTTTTATGTCACGGAATAAGTTTGATATACTTATGTCATCGATGACATCGTAATGACATTCATTCACCTATTTGATTAAATCCTAGCCAAGAGGAATCTTATTTGAATTGAAGGGGTTATATTTTTTAGGAGTGATTAATTTTTGGGAAAAAAAATTTTTGACTTTCTACTATTCCATCTTGATACAAAAAAATGTGAGTGCAATTTGTTACCATTCATTTTAAGTAGAACTCCTGTGAATGATATCTGATTTTATTCCATAACGAATGTTTGGAATACAAACTGAGTAGAGAAAAGTATAATTCAGTGTTCATATAAAAGTATTTGTTTCGAAAGAATTTTTTTCTTTCGTGTAATTCAAAGTTTATATGAAAGTAGCTGTTTCAGGAGGGCTTTCTTCCAGTTTGTGTCTGAAAGTTGTTTCTTTGCATGATCTACACATCCATGTATAGAGTTACTTATATTCAAATTGATTACTTCCTTCCTTTCTTTGGAAGATTCCCACATTTTTTTGTATCAAGATGGAGTAGTAGAAAGCCGAAAACTTTTTTCAATTCATTATAATATGAGTCTTTTGTGTGTATAATTTTTGGTCCGTCTACATAGTAATGTAGATAATTCTGTAAATTACTTGTTTCTGCGTTGCTGAAAAAATCCTATACACTCGTATGTCAAATGGAGAATAGATAAACTGATTAGTTGATCGAGTAAGCATCTCAGTCGTAATTAGGAGTAATATCTGAATTTATGAAAGCCGTACGAAAACTATCAGCCAATCGAAATTGTCATATCACTACCTACAACTTACGGAATTAGAATAAACCTCATATTCTACTTCAAGGCTATGAAAATCATACTCTTTGGGAGTTATCCAATCAGACTCTAGAAATGTAGCATGGGCTTGCGATTTATAAACACTCCTTCCACTTTTTCTTCCCATGTAATTTAGAGAAATACATGAGATATTATTATTTATATACTCGTACCGCTGAAATTAACATTGCCAGATGAAAAGGGCGGGTAAAAGTCTTTTCAACCTGTAGTAGAAGTCTATTATATTTCGTAGTGGAGTGTAGTTGATTTACGATGCTGAAAAACTCAAAGTCGTCTTCACAATTTATCATTACCTCCAGACGGTAAAAACCATCAATCAATACATGTTTCAAACTTATATAGGTTCATCATCAGTTAATTATTTGATGGCCGCAGAATGATATGCTATCACGAACGATCCCCTTGGGGACCTGGGCGAAACCTCATCGTAATCAGCCTACCTCTGGTAATGCGGGGCTCTGACAGAGGTGACCAACTCTTCCCTTGCAACTCGAGGGAACACACATGAATGAAACAACAGAAACAACAAAAACCAAACCCGATGCTGGACAGAAGTGCTCTCCTCAATCTAAGGCGGTGGACATAGCAGATCACCTCCAACAGCAAGGGCACTAATAATAATTAATAATAATATCCCTGCATCTTTGAAAACCTTCGCGGAGGCTACCGTGAGACACCTTAAGGTTGCCAACACCTGCCAATATAAAGATGTCTCGTAGTGACCTATTCACCTTCCTGGAAAGGACAGGATGGACGATGACCTAGGAGGCGACTCCTCGGGAGGATGTACAATGGATCACATGTGGCCTAAGTGCTGTGAGTCTACACTCATTCTCCCTACTCTACAGATACAGAACATCCTAGCTATAAATGATTGAAGTATGGAAGGATTAGCGCCTTTTTTCCCACTAATTTACATCAAAATAAAAAACCCCACATGAAAACGAATTCTAATGAAATAGATCTGAACTGAATTGGATGAGAAAGGAAAATCAACTGTTAAAAATATATAAAGAAATAAAGTCGCGATGACATGGAACAGTGACAAGAGACCTGCAAACACAGAACACATCAGAAGAAGAGCCACCACATACAAATCAACTCGTGTTCTTAGCAAACAGATCCCACGCCATCTATATATGCCAGCTTGTTCATAGGAATACTTTTACAAACTATTGTAACAAGCTGGCATGTATAGATGGTATGGGATCTGTTTGCTCACGACACGGGTTGATATGTGTGTGGTGGTCCTTCTTCTGTAGTGTTCTGTGTTTGCAGGTCTCTTGTCACTGTACCATGTCAACTTAACTTTATTTCATTATATAATCTTGACAATTGATTCTACTTTCTCATCTAATTCGGTTCGGATCTTTCTCATTAGAATTTGTTTTCAGGTGGGTTTTTTTTTTATTTTGATGTTAATACTTCAGTCATTTGTAGCTAGGATGTCATTGTGACCGAGTATTCATTGGTGATAATTTCATTATTATTATCAAAAAATGTTTTTCTCCATGTTCTTTTTTATTGTATCAAGTATTGTTATGTTGTTCTTCTTTTATTGTACAATTTTTGAATGATTAGCTGATGAGGAACATATATAGGTTCGGAACATGTACTGATTGATGGTTTTTCCGTTCTAACATCTGAGAGGGATATCATAGTGAATATAGTGACAATAAAATAAGTGATACTTGTGATAATCTAAGAATTTTAAATTTCAGGACTTCAGTTGATTTTGAGTGACAGATATGAATAGGTTGATATAGTAATATATCATTAGGAGAATCGTTATAATATATTTCAATTTACCATTCTGGAAATGTGCAGTCTCAGCGACAATCCAAGTTAGTAACGACCTACAGTTCATCATGATAAATGAAATACTTTCCTGTCATTAACACACAATGACATAATAAAAAGAATATATTCTCATGATATTTTCCATTTGAGAACAATTTATTCCGACCAAAAACATTTACTTACACAGAAAAGTGATAGATAAAACACAGCCATCCTCCAGGATGTTCCAAAAACACGTAGGTTCTTTCCTGGCAAGTTTTTCCCCTTTTGTGATGGAAAACGTACTTTGCTTTGAAGGCCTGATCTATGGGCAGGTAGATAGGATAGTAGGGATCGGGAACTCCACGGGGAGCTTCTAGGGAGGGGTCCACGATATCGTCCACTTCGTCGATATCTTCGTTGGCTGCTTGTTCGGCCAAAATCTTCTCTTTTTTCTCTTTTTTCCTCGAGCGTTTGATAGGAGTCGGCACCCTGCGATGGTGCGCCTCGGTGAATAGAGGCGTTCGGGGAGATCTTTGACCACGTAACCGTTGTAGAAATGGAAGCTTTTCCGAACATTCCTCATCTTCGCTGCAGGTTTGCTTACACCTTTGGAAAAAATAAACATTTCGGGGATCTGATGTTTGATTCGGAAAACCGGTAGCTCAACATTGTTCTCAATTTCGTGAAACATTATTAAGAATGAAAGAATTAGAATTACTTATCAAGAATAGAAGGTGTGAATTATGGCCCATAATGACTTAGTAGTGTAATTTATTCTCATATGTGATAAAACAAGAACTGTATACATTAATAAAATTTAACAAAAATATGTACGGTCTATTTCCTCAAGCAGCGTAGTTTTGAATCATTTCAAGTGAGTTACGTGGAAATAGATATCAAGAAACGTGCCTTATCTACAGGAGCCCGAGACTTTGCAAACTCATTATATTTCAAATCTTGTAATAATTGTCTTAATAAAGATTCATTCTTTGTACTACTCTCGAAGAGAATAAACGCTTTTTTGACTTTTATGTGAAATCGATTTTCTTTTTAAAAACTAAGTTCTCGATTTCCAATACATGATTGGCGCAGTCGGTAGGATTATTGCGGTCATGAAAGAGAACATTTGCATTGTGCCAGAAATCGTTTTCGTGACTTTGAAGTTTCAACTTCTTCAGCGAGGATCGAAGGGATTCAAGGAGCTCTCTGCAGAAGAAAGAATCGGGAAAAGAACCAGGAGATTACAGTCACCAAACTGTAAGTGCCAAATTCCTTTTCGACTTTCCTAAACCCTCTTTTTGAGGACTTTGGGAGAGAAAGGGTAGTGACGTTGATTCCAACTGAATATTGGATATTGACATTACATTTACTTGCGAAAATAACAAATTATAATAAAAACTATATTAAATTTGAAAGGTCAAAATCAACAATTTATGAACGATATTGAAAATATTTTGCAACTATTAAATAATCTGTCAGTCGAAGACAATAATCAAAATATTCCAAACATGGCACCAGCGGAACCTCGAATGGTCGACCGGAACCTTTTTAAATCTCGTTTGGAAAATATCAAACCCTACGATGGGGATAGCAATACTCTTAATAAATCCATAACTCGTTGTCAAAGCCTGTTAAACGATTATGCCATATATGGAGATGCTACTTTTCAAAAACATATACTTGAATGCATTCAAGAAAAATTAGTAGGAAAAGCAGAAGCAATGGTAGGAAATAGGATAGAATTAAATACTTGGGAAAAACTGAAAAATGCTCGTTGCCAAAGTTTTTCAGATCGCAGGGACTTAGATTGTTTAATTCAAGAACTCACGAGAACTAGACCTTATAAGGGAGAAAACCTTATTAATTTTGGGGGTAGAATACAACTGTTAAAAAGTAGTGTTGTCCAGCTAATAAGTATAATGATGTCAATTTAACCGAACCCGAAAAATTATGTCATATTAATCACTATGATAAAACAGCACTGAGTACCTTCATTGCAGGGTGTACTGGCATCCTGAAAAATAATATGCATATCAAAAAACCAGCTCCACTGGAAAACGCAATGGCGTACGCGAATGAATTTGAAAACTTTGAAAGAATGTATGGAAGTTCAAACGAAACAAAAAATACAACTCCCAGAACTAATTTGGTTCCTAGACCACAATTTGGTAATAATTCACAAGGGCATAATTTCAATAACCAACATTATTTAAATCACCAACCCCACTTTCAGCAATACCCCCAATTTTCTGGAAATTGCAACACTTTCCAGTTACAATATAGCCAAAAGTCTACGAAACCCCGAATTTTACCAAAATCAACCTTGATGAACTGTACCAAATAGACAGAATAGCCAATCAACTGAAGCCTATTCAATCGCAACAAAACCAAGGTCCTATACAACACCTATTTTTGAGACTATAATATTTGTAATCATCGTCATCGTGATACTGCTCAGTTTGCCGAAATTCCGAAATTGAAGTAGTATTTTCAAAAAATATTCGAGAAGAACCAAAAAGCCTGTGAACCTGCAGAAACCACAACTTCAAAAAATAACTCCGTTATTTTGTCAACCTGAGGAGGGACGAGATAAGTGGAAACAGATATCAAGAAACGTGCCTTATCTACAGGAGCCGAGACTTTGCAAACTCATTATATTTCAAATCTTGTGATAATTGTCTTAATAAAGATTCATTCTTTGTACTGCTCTCGAAGAGAATGAACGCTTTTTTGAGTCTTATGTGAAATCGATTTTCTTTTTAAAAACTAAGTTCTCGATTTCCAATACATAGTTAGTGCCTGTTCTATAGGCGTACATAACTGAGTCGGTTGGAAATATTTCCAACCCAAAACTGTGTTCACTTTTGAATTTCGATTGAAATTCTAAATACTTTTCAATGTATGACATGCCTGCACAGTATATCTGATTGAATCAGGGATGACTGGAAAAGTGAATGACTTCATGATTTGAACGATCGTATAGTACTGTAATTAGGTACTTCATTACGTGAAGATAATAATGAATCAATGATGAAGTCATTGTGTCCTAATCAGTGTTGTTATAATTGAGTTATACCGATTGTGTGAATTGAAATGGCTACTTCTGTGGTCTCTCCAGTATAACTGATGAGCAAATGTGCTTTTCTTGTTAACAAAAAAAATATTGTTCTTGATGTAAATGACACTACGATACACCAGAGTCCTTCATATACTATTGATAATCTGGTTAAAATGTGTTCGCAAATAACTGGAGTTTCGGAATCATCGATATATAAATTCAAGATTGAGAGAGAAAAAAATTAAGCTATTAAATCACCATAACCATCTTCACAAAAATAACGGTGCTTGTTGATTAATACTACAGACTCGCAATTGGTGGTACAGTAAGTACATTCATTTTATTTTGAGAAAAAACCTACTCTGTCCAATGATAGGCAGAAAGAGATTGTAGAAAATCGATCTCAATCGAAATCAGTTGCCGAAAATGAGGCAGGTAAGAGAGTTTCGACGTAAGAATAGAAAGATTCATTATCTTGATGAAACTTGGCTAAACGAAGGATATACCCTTGAGAAAATGTGGCAAGACAAAAGCATAACAAGTTCCCGTCAAGAATTTTCTGAAGGCTGGTCTACCGTATTGAAGTGCATGGTGGAAAAGGGAAGCAACTGATTATTAATCTCATTAGAGGTGTTGATGGTTTTGTTGAGCGCGGTTTATTGATATCTGAGTAGAAGAAGGAAAGGTGGAAGAATACAAACTAATGCATGGAACTGGTGAAAATTTACTGAACATGTTATAAGATATATGAAGGAATTGGCCGATATTTGATGAAAATCCATAATGTATTCAAAAAACACTTCATTGTAAGATTTTCACTAAACGGTTTTACAAAAGCGCACCACGTGTTTCGCCATACAATGGCTCCTTCGGGTGTATCTTTACTAACTGAATTCTACATATTGAATGCTAAATATATCTGATTTCACAATGTGTACCTACACTTCAAGTATCTGAGTTCTTTGCAGACTATTGTTTAATAGTAGTTTAATAATTCCAGGTACAAACCATGGAAATATAAGGTATTATGAAAGTTAGCCATTCAAATATGGAATAGGTTCTCTTCATCTCATGAAGAAGCCAACTTAGTTGGCGAAACGCCTGTCGAGAATAACTTACTGAACTTGATTTTTTACCCTGAGGTATTCTGAAAGTTCGCGTTTGTTTATATATGGATTTTGTAGAATTGAAGTGGCCTTCGAAGAATAAAAAAATTCAGTTCATGCCTATCCATTTGTACTCCAAATAGCTTCCCAAGTTTGAAAACCGAATACCTATTTCATAAAATATCTAGAAAAATTATGCAAAGAATGCAATTCTGAAGAAAACGTGACTAACACTCCAAAACATTCATATTCACCCGGTTACATTTCAGTCCTCTTGACTCATTTTCACTCCTTTGTTGTGATTTTCCTCGGGGAACATCGCAAAGCACAGCTCTACAAACGCCATTGACGGTTACGTCGAGTTGTTTATTACGCCTTTTTGGCCTGATTAGTTCTGAGACCCTATTACTTGTTTCTGAATTCCAAATTGACGCTTCCCAATACTACGATGACGTCAAGCAACTCTAATCTGAGGTCATACGTTATGGATTTCCATGACGTGAGCTTCGTGTTTGTAACTGCCAGTATCGCGTTTGGAATCATTATTTTTGGGGTAGGTAGTCATTAAGGAAAAGATTATATTACAAGCGATTCTTAGTTGGATTTGTTTTTAATGGCATGTTTCCTAGTAACCCAATTTTCGAGAAACTGATTGAGATTATCGTAGAAGGAAAAACGTGACACATTTGGGAAAAACTGAAAAAAATGCATGGTTGAATTTGTTCGAAGCATGTTTGAATTCTGTTCATGACATTCTAAAAATACAGTCATTCCAGTTGAAGGAAAAATAAGTCGTTTCATATTAAAACTGTAACTTCTAACCAACATAACCTATATACACATGTTAGGTCTTGTTGTGTATTGATTTGTTCTTCGATAAGTGAATTATGATTTTTTAATTTATGGATATTCAGGTTTTTCCAAATGTCCATACGGTTTCCTTTATTGACTTGTTTTATGAATTTGATATTTTGTGGTGGGGAAAAAATGTTTTATATAGGGTGTAACAAAAAGAAAGGTCCTATACTGAACCACGTATTCTGTCGTCAAAAATAACTCGATTTGATATAATATACTTTGATGCAACTGTACGAAATGAAAAATCGATATTTTCCGATATTTCATTTTGTAATGAAAATGAAGCGATGGCTTTCATGTCGTGAGAGCATCTTTTCCATATGAAACTACGAATGGGGAATGTTCCTCAATTTGGGTTATTACAGCAAATGCAAGTTTGAACAAAATAAAGTTGAGTTTAATTCATGAGTTGTACAAATTCACTTCGAAAAGTATTCAAATTGATGTTTCAAATGTTGGGTTTTGATTTTAAAGGGATTTGTTTTTAATTCACATATTGGCAACAGCGCTTATATCAAGTTGAAATAATTTATACGTACCTAGATACTCTACTTTAAAAAAGGAAAATTATCTTTATAAATCAA